AGCCTCCCACGCAGTCTCCCAGCCCCAGCTTCTGCCCACGGCTGCTGCCAGGTCCAGGTGTCCTCGCTCGCTTCTGTGGGTCCCGCACCCGCGCCCCCTCTCCCCACAGGCACTGAGCCCCAGCTTGTATTATACGGGCATCCCTTCCACCCCGTTCTCTCTCCTGGTGACTCCCTGGGCTCAGGGATGTGTCCTCATAATCCTGCCTCCTGCAGAGGAGGGGGCACTAAACACACTCACACCCACGCACACAGGTGCACACGCACACAGAAGCCCTCCACGCCGCACCCGCTCAGCCGGCTGCATGGAGGAGACCCCAGCAGTGTGTTTCCAAACAGGAAAGAAACAGAGAGCTGACGGGGGACTTGGCCAGCAGGGACGAACCGTGTTCGCAGGGCTGTGACGTGTCCACTCCCTGGACACACGTTCCACCTGAAGCTGCTACTCCAACCCACGAGGTGCCTCCTGGGACGGCACACGCCCGGCTGTGAGGACCAGGTGGGCGAAGGACGCGGGGTATCGCGTTCTCACTGACTGCCTGTTCAAACGGTAACACTCGAGAGGTGCTGGGTTAAGTAAAACGTATCATTCAGAGCAACCCCATCTCTTTCCTTCTCCTCCTTTTTGCTTTAATGCACCGACTGAAAAGGTAACATTCCACGTGAGGCTCCTACCGTAGCTTCTCCCCGGAGCCAGAAGCCTCTCGCGGGACCACAGCCCTGGCCCCGTGCCCGCTGAGGCTGCGGCCGCAGCCCTGAGAGCAGAGCCGGCGGCTGTGATGAGACCGTCCGGCCACGGAGTCGAGCAGACTGACCTTCAGATGCTCCAGAAGCAGCTCTCTCGTTACCCAGAGGACGAGGGGGAGCGTCGTGAGACTTCATCTGTCCGTCATCCGGGAGGCTGCGGCAAACCCAGTCCAGTCAACTGAGATCTCTAGAAAACGCATGTAAAAGTGGTCAGAACTGCCGCAGTATTTGAGACGTGAACTCCTCCAGTGCAGAGAGGTTGCGAGCGACAGCCGTGTGCCCGATGGAGGGGGAGCTCTGGGGAGGAGCCCCTCGAGGCTGGAGAGGAGGTTCAGGGAAGCCGCCTTGACACCTGTTACCATGTACAGCGTGGATGAACAGCAGGGTCCTGCTGCACCGCACGGGGGCTGCGTTCACGGCTTGTGGTTCCCTGTAACGAAAAGGAGTGTGTATATGTATTTTTATGTGTGTGTATGACTGAATCACGATGCTGTGCACCAGAAACTAACACAACACTGTAAGTTTTAAAAAATCAAAAAAATACATAAAGAGAAAAAAAATAAAATTAAAAGTAATACATATGAAAGGTGAAATTTTACAATCCCTGTTCTGTACAAACTAGCATGGCTTGCTGTAACTGTTGTAAACTAAAACACGTTACAGGAAGCAAAGCAAAGGGAAGCACTCGTCCCTGATAACTCAGTCACAGACACAACAGTAATTCAGCTGCGTAACCTCGCTGTTAGAAAGCGCGGGTCCCGGGTGGACGCCGCCCTAGCCTCAGGGCCTTTCTGCTTCGTCTGTCTCAGCACTTTGTGTAACCGACAAAGTCGGGACCGGCACTCGAGGCGTCTGGTGCGGGCTGGACGCTGAGCACGGGCTGGACAGACATCCTTTCGCTTCTTCGGATTTCTGGTTTTCGAAATTGAGTGGCTTCGACTTAATCCAGGTTTTTACTCCTAGGGAGCATGGCTCCCTTGGGTCACGTCATTGGCTCCACAGGCAGGAGGCAAACACCAAGCGGCTTCTCCCGGCCACTCTCAGCAGAGAGCCGGGGACCAGCCACACGGCCCCGCCCCAGACGGCCTGGGAGTCCCGCGCCAGGAGGCTCTTCCCCCGGCGGCTCCTCTGCCTCCGAGACTGGACCCCTCAGGCCTGCCCCTCGGGCTCCGCCCGGGTCCAGCGAGCGTCGCGGGGACTTGGGGAAGGTGGGGACAGACCTGACCAGGAGGCCACTTTCCCTCCCCGACCTGTCGCGGGGCCCATGGGGTGGGAAGGGAGGGCCCTACAGGTCACTCATGTCCAGACAGTCCTTGGCAGGAGACAGTGCCGCTTGCTGACCGCTGCTGCGGACGGTTGTTTAGCTGAGGAACCATCTGTTTCCAACTCAGGGGACAAGCGCTGACATGAGATGACAGTGGGACGTTGCCCGCCACGCCAGCTGGGCCTCTGAGACACACCTTGACCTCCTGCCAGCCAAGCGCACGGGGGGTGCTCGTCGCGACGCGCTGTGCGTCTCTGGGACTCTCCTCCCGTAGGGCTCCTCCCCAGCCCACACAGAGAGTTAGCTGCGCCTCGCAGGGAACAAACAGACAACGAGCAGGAGGCTGCTGTTGGCGGAAGTCCAGAGAGCGTGGGGTGGGAGGGACATAGGGGGTCCCAGAGGCGTGCAGCCCGGACAGGGTGCCCAGGTGTCCCCCAGCCCTCCCCAGGGACGCCTGACGTGGAGGCAGAGAAGCTCCTTCTGCCCTGGCCTCCCGGCCTCATCCCAGATGCCACCAGCAGCCTGTCCCTGTCCCCGACGCCCTTGTGGGGCTGCTCCTGCCCGTGTGTGTGTGTGTGTCCATGTGTCCTTGTGTCCGTATTCCCATGAGGTTTCCACTGTCTGATGGTCTCCAGGACCTCGGCCAGGAAGGTGGGGCCCCCACGGTGAGCGTTCTCCAAACGGCCCACAAGCGACCTGACTCCCTAGAAGGGGAGCTAACTGCTACTGGGAGGCCGGCCCTGGGCAGAGCCCACGCTTTTCCGAGGAAACGGCAAGCAGGGGCCGTTCTGGGCCGGATGACTCACTGGTTTCCAGCAGCCCGCGCGGGCACTGGTCTGCTTTCCCTTCAGTGAAGACCCGCCTGGACGTGGATGCACTGAGGGCACACGGGCCTCTGCCTGTGGCCGTCCTGCCCCTCGTGGTGCCATCACCACAGCCCGAACGCCCGCGGCCCTCGCATCCCGTGGGGCGTCGGGGCCCAGAGCGTCCCTGGGCCTCTTTTGTCCGCTCCCCACCCGACAGTTCCCGCTGCCCGCGCTCCAGCACCCCCGTCCACGAGCTCTGCACCGCGTCCACCTGCCTGCTTGGCGGAAACATCCCTGTGGAGAGGTTGCCCTGCCCACCCGGGGTCCCCCGGAGTCTCCTTCCCATGGAGCTGGCAGGCGCCAGCTTGCACAGAGAACAGGACAACGAGTGTCCGGGACGCTGGCGGGCAAACCGAGCAGGAGGGCGGGGTGGTTGGTGTTCCAGCAGCGTCTCAGGTGCTCACCTGCGGCTGCCGCCCCAAAGCTGCGTTCAGCACAGGCCAGGCCTCCCACACAGGCTTGCTTCTGATCCGCATAAAACATGCCGGGAAGGATCAGGGGTCCCTTGTCCTTCTCCAGCGCTTCTCCCCCGAGAGCTCACTTCCAGTGCTCACACCGGTGGGGGTGGTTCCTGGCCAAGGTGGGTGGTGGCCACGAGGGGGAAGCTGGCCCACGTCTGAGATCAGGTGAGCTCAGAATCACTTGCAGAGAGCTGGGGGCCCACCTGCCCAAGGCCCCAGCCTCCAATACGTCAAACGTGGTGCCCACGGAGGTGTGCTGAGCAGAGCGCCGGGGCGAAGCTGCTGGGCCTCACAGCCGCCACACCTCCGGCCCATGCGGCGATGCCCCCGAGGCCTCGCTCTCCCAGGGGCTCCCAGTCAATGACAGAGCACAGCAGGGTCTGCAGAGCTGCCGTCCTGCTGGAGGGGCCCCCCCAGGAACCCCGATGCAGGGCTTCCCCAGGGCCAGCCAGGATTCCACAGGGCGCCTCCCCAGCCTCCATCCTTTCACGGTGTCAGAGGCTCCCGAACCTCTTCTCCTCCACAGACAGGATGCTCCCCAACACGTCTCCTGCTTCAGATCCCATCCTGGTGTCTGCTTCTATCACGGAGTCCAAGCCCACACGGCTGGGCACACGGCAGGCCAGTAAACCAAGAGACGAGGTGCTGGGGCAAACACTTTATTCAGAAAGCCCCAGAGCGAGAAGATGGTGGGCTGGTGACCCAGAGAACCGTCTCGCCTGAGCTAGAATCCAGGCCCCTTTCACACTACGAGGGGGAGGGGTGAGGCCGAACACTGCACGGTGCCGGCGGCCTCGGAGGGGAGGTGTCAGCTCTCCTTCCCGCAGCCACTCGCCAGGGGGCCTGGTCAGGGTGCTCCCTGAGGTAAACAGAGGTATTTTGGGCCGGCGCTCAGGCCTGGGAAGCAGGGTTCCCAGAGAGGCGCCACTGTGTGTAATGTACGCTGTAGGCAACACCTCTTCAGTGGTTAACTTGTAGCAAAAGCAATGGATACAAACGTTAAAGTAAAAGAAACAGGTCCGCTGTGGAGTCAGGCCTGCTCTGCCCTGTCACCTCCGAGCTGACACGCCGCACCTCCAGCGCACGAATTCACCAGGAAGCCTGCTCCCCTGCGGAGGATTCAAAGCTCTCTCTTCTCCCGTGGTCAGGGTGCTGGCAGAAAGCTGACTTCTGCTTGGCCGGTTTGGATGGAACCCTTAATGGAGTGAAATGCCTACAGTGTAAGGGAACAGACCGGGGACGATGAGGTGCCTGGAACACCCACCCTCCCAAGCTGTTGACGCCCAGGACTGAAGGGCTCTGCTCCTGCAGCCCGTGGGCCTGGAGCCACTGTGCGGCTGGCACCAGGCATGGAGGGCACGGGCGCAGCCCAGGGGACAGGGCAGGGCGGGCAGGCGGGCGGGGTGTGCAGCATCCACCTCCCGAGCTGCCACGCTCCCTCCCAGGAGCCCCCCCGGGGCCCCCTGCTGCAGTTCTCGTTCTGTGTCCGACCCGGGACCCCCGAGCAGTTACCCTCGTGTTTCAGCCTCACACCCACTTTCACGTTCTCCCCGCTGGCTCTGGGTTCACGCGCCACGCCTCGTGATGGCACTCCGGGTCTCCACCCAGCTTGGTCCTCAGCGCACACCCCTCCTCGCCAGGCGCCCGCCAGCTGTCAGCTGAAGCCAGGCCAAGGGTGGGGCCCGGGCGGAGACCCTGAAGTCAGCTCGCCCCACACGCTGTACCTTGGGTGGAAACCCTTGGCAAACTGAAAATGTCTGCCATGCCACGGAACTCAGCTCTGTTGACGGCTGCTCATTCCAGAAGTCAGGGACCGCCCGAGCCCACCTCGTTCCACTGTTTGTGGTCAAAACCAGCTTCCCGGCTGACCACAGTGCTCCCGGTGCCAAGCCTGCAGGTCCCTGACACCACTGCACACCCGTCCAGTGCCTCGAAACCGGAGCCAGAGGCCACGGAAATTTCACCATCGCTGCAAAATGTCTGAAAATATCTGAAACGTGCAAAAATCCAAATTTCCTCAACAAATCCCAAGAGAGTCGATCACAGACAGGTTGTATTTGATGTTGGCTGGCCATGTGATGTAGGCGGCCTGGGCTGGAGCTGTGGCAGCAGCTTCGCTGATACACTGATCTGTGCACGAAGGCTAGGGAGCTGTGACGGGGGAGGGAAAAGCGCCCCCTCACCAGCACAGCATCCCGGACTGTGAGACCCTTCCACAGTAGCAGGGCTTAACGCCACAGCAAGCCTTCTCTTCTGCAAACTGTGTAACATTACAGAATTGATTGAAAAATAATTCTTAACAGAATTCTCTGACCATTCTTTTCCAGACACACACCTGCTGCAGAGTGACCTGATCCCACCCTGAGGGACACGGCTCTTCTGGGAGCTGAGAACCAGTGGGTGAATGCTTAAGTGTCCCCACCCCCCGGCCACACACCCCTGGCCTCCCGGAGACCCTGCGGAGACACGTGCCCCCGGAGACCGCAGGGGCCTCAGGGCCCTGGCTGCGCAGCAGGCTGGGCCGACTTAGCTTCTCACTGTGACTTCAGGACCGATTTCAGTACTGAGCGCAGGCCTGGCCCCGAGCGGGTGAGCCCGTGTGCTCACACCCCCACTTTCTCCCTCTGTCCACACCTCTGTTTCTCCCTCCTCTCTCTCCATCTCTCTCTCCTTCCCTCCTGCCCTGCCTCTCTCTCCCACCCCTAGGCTCACCCCAGGACAGCCAGGCTGTGAGGAAGCCCAGACCATGTGGCAGCACCGTGGGGCCCCCTGCTGAGAGCCTGCAGCCTGGGGGCTTGTGGGTGGGTGACTTTGTGTGACTTCAGGTGACTCCAGTCTCCAGGCTTCACATCTCCCAGCTGAGGCCTCATCCTGGAGCAAACGCAAGCCAGGCTGTGCCACACCTGAACTCCTGACTCAGGGAACCTGTGGCAGACAGTAAACACTGCTTATCGGACCCCAGGTCTGAAGGGATGGACACCTGCCCAGGCATAGGGGAGACGGTCATCAAGTGCCTCAGAGCTCCAGCCGCCACCCCCCGACCCTCCAGGAGGCTGGCCTGAGCCGGCCCGCTCTCAGGAGAGGAGCTGAGGGGCCGTCGAGCCAGGCAGCCCTCCTGACCAGTCCCCACCTGGCCGCCTGGAACTGGCCGCCCCGGGGTTCGGTGTCCTGAGCTGCTCCTCCACCCACTCACCACTGCTGTCACTTTGTCCCACGTCGCAGTCTTCATCCATCCCGGGAAACCACCCAGGGCCAAAGTGCAAAATGCCCAGCACGTGAAAAAAGTGCTGACAACGCAGCATTTTGAGGCAGCACCTCGGAGAGTCTGAACGGCGCCTGCCTCCCCCAAGGCTCCCAAGACTTCCCTCCAGTAAAGAAAAACCAAGGAGCCCCTCCGCACACCCCTTGTCAAGACACAGAGATACTCTCGGACTTGGCAGCATTGGGCCCAGGAGCTCCGGGTGAGATGGAGCTGCCGTGCGGACCAGCCGTGCGTGCAGAGGCTCCTTCCCAAGGCTGCGCCACACTCGTGTGGCCACTGCTTGAATAGCAGCTCAGAAGCCTGGGACAGGACGAGTCCAGACGGTGTCACCACACACGGGACCTGGCACCACGCCAGGCCTGCACCAACCGCCAGGAGCGGAGTCCTGGCAACGAGAGAATTCTGCGCGTGGGCTGCGGGCCAGCTCTTTTTCTTCCTTTAATGGAGGGACTGTGGTTTGGACCCACAACTGAGCCAGGACCTCGCGCACACTAAGCACACGCCCTGCCACCGAGCTCCCGACCCCGGGGCCATGTCTGTCAGCGGAAACCAGGAAGGGGCACGTCCCCAGCCCTCACAGCAGCCCCTCGGGGCCCATTGCGGGCACTGCTCTCTGGTCAGGACGGTGGTTCTCCCCATCGTCCGGGGCCGGCAGCAGCGGCCCCAGGAAGTCCTGGGGCTTAGAGATTCAAACTCTGAGCCCAGTCGTCCTGCTGCGGAAACCTGAGGCCAAGCCTCTGGCCCCCGTGAGTTAACAAGCCCTCCAGAGGTGCCGGAGCCTCCGTCTGCTAGCCTCTGATGTGTCCGGGGTGGTTACTGTCACCGTCACACAGCTGGTACCAAGGCACCGACCCTGTGAGCGGCCAGAGGACCCGTCTGGAGACTCCCCAGGATGTGTGATGCTGAGACAGTCTTGTCTCCCAGCTCACTGCTGAGGCTGGGGTCCCCTACAGCAACCCTGACAATCATTTTCATGGGAACAGAGCACTGGGGAGGTGACCCCAGGATGCGCCTGCTGGGCATGGGGGGGGACCAGCACATGGTGTGTTGGGGGCAGGCTGGCACTGGGGCCACCGGACACAGCATCAGGCATCCTCAGGGGTGACTCTCCCAGGGCTCAGGAGCTGGGGTATCCACCCCAGCCCCCACCCATCACTGGTGGGGGGCAGCTCTGGGTGCTGACCCCTGGGCATCTTGCCCTACCCCGGGTGAGGCCAGAATCTGTGGCCAGAGGGCCCTCATCCAGGAAGGAGAGAGGGGAGGGCCCCCATCATCAGCTCTGGCAGTTTCCTCAGGCCTCCAGGGGAAGAGGAAGGTTCCCATAACTCACCTGTGCGCCTAAGACCCTGGGGTGCTCTGGTTAATTCCGCCACATGGATGGAGGCCCTCACATCCCATCTTCCCTGGACACCTCGGTTTCTGGGGGTGGGGCGCTGCCTCTCCAGAGTCAATCCTCCGCTCAAACATCTCTGCTGACTCTGAGCGGAAGCAGGGCCCAGTCAGCCGGCCGGGCCGGCCCTCGGCGGGAGAAGCCCTGTCACAGATGACTGGAGGGGGTGACGTGGGGCCCAGCAGGGACAGGCAGCTCTACAAGGCCACCTCCCCCGGTAGGCAGGGACCCACTGCGGGCGGGGGCTGAGACACCTGCTCTCCCGGGTGCGGGCAGCTCAGAGCAGCCATGGCTTAAGGAGGTGCAGTCACCTGGCTGGGTGTCAGGAGGGGCGACGCCTTCCCCAGTCACCTCACAGGTGCACCCAGCATCACCAAGGGGTGGCCGGTGAAGGACACTGAGCATGGGGGTCCCCTCCTCTCTCAACGCCTACCTTCTTCACAACCGGCACCCACCTCGGCCTGGGGCCTCCCACTGACGGCCTTTTCCAGACCGCGGCACCAGGGGACGACACCCTCCCAGGAGCCCTCCGCCCTCAGGGCGCCCCAGCTCCCGCCCCACACCAGCCCCCCAGGTGGGGCTATTACCTGAAAAACTGGGTTCGCCTCTTGACGTGCGTCAAGCCAAACGACACAACCAGGCCAAAGCGCAGGCGCAGGAAGGTTTATTATTTCTTGCGGCAAGTAAGGGGGACGCCAGGCTCTTCCCCAGAGCAGCGTGCCCCCGAACGGAGAACTGGGGAGGCGTGAAGCCAAGGGCCCACCCGCGCTCACGGGGGCTTGGGCTCGGCCCAGAGCCCAAGCTGTGGTGGATCCAAGACGCGTATCAGAAGAGGGCAGCACCCTCGCCCGTCCCGGCCAGTCTCCCCTGAAGTGGACCCGGGGCCCTGACGGGCGGCGGGGCGGCCCTGCTGCCGCTCCCTCTGCCTGGGTGCAGTCCCTGGTCTCGGCGTTCTTGTCTCCCCTTAAGATCGCCAACGGCTGAGGCCCGCCGGGGTCACTCGGCTGGTTCCTCTCCCCACGGCAGGCCTGGGTGCCGCGCAGAGCGCGGCTGGGCTCCAAGGACATCTGCACTGAGGGCGCCCTGCAGAGGCTGCACCCCAGAAGTTACAGCTCTGCTTCTGAACTCAGTCCAGGGCTGCCCGAGCCCAAGGAGGGGCCCGATGCCATCTCCTGACTACGTGGGGGGGGGGCAAGGTTCTGGGCAAGCATGTGTTTCCCAAGCATCTTTGTGACCATTTTTGGAAAATATAGTCCGGTGCACAAGGGACAAGAAACCACCGGAAGTCACAGAAGCCACTCTCTGCAGCCTGTGTGTAGGTGTGTGTGAGCATGTGGGTGTGTGAGTAGGTGTGTTTCCACCTCTGCCTCACACCCTCTCTGGGCTCATGACCACATCTCAGCCCCTAAACTTAGGGGCCTCCCCTTTTCCTGCCTTCCATGAATCTCCCCAAAAGCCAGGTCCCAAGTGACCTCCCAGAAACGCAGCCCCGGCTCCCTCTGGCCCAGCAGCAGCTCGGCTGCCTCTTCTGAGGCAGTGAAAAAACCACACACATGGTTTTGGCGGCAACGTGTTAGAGGTGCCACCACCCAGGCACTGCCACGGACGCCTGCAGATCAGCCCCAAGTCACGCAGCCTCTGGCGGCAAACACGCACGAGCTCCAGCACCGAGCACCTCGCGGGCCGCGGGAAGGCGCAGTCCGGTGCTCACGGGCCCACAGGCCCCTAAGTCAGCCGCCTCCAGGCTACCAGGGGCTCAGCGTGCGTGACCAGATGTGTCCTTCCTCCCTGCAGACTCCACGAGGTACACAGGCCCCTGGCTCCAAGGCTGCTTAAACCGGGCTCATCTTCCAGAAGGAGCGCCTACCAGTCTGTCCGTACGCTGGTGCCAAGTTTAGAAGCTGGTTGTTGGAAGGATCCTTGGCAAATAAGAAAGCTGCCATCAATGCAAAACATTGAAGCACACAAAAGGCCTCTGGATGCCAGCTTTGTGCTCGGCCCCGGGCTAGGACCACACCCCACCTCACGCCCTCCTCACGTGGACCACCGAGGGAACAGTGTTATTACTGCTCCTCTTCCGCAGATGAGGCGCTCAGCCTGAGGCAGGTTAACTCTGCTAGCACACAAAGCCACACTAGCTAACTCACAAGTACCTTTATTTATGCCCTGTTTTAAAAAGTATTTTTTTAAAAAGGGAATTTACTGGCTCATGAAACTAGAAAGTCCCAACTTCAAGGCTGAGTTGGTTCCTAACACAGCCATCAAAGGCTTGATTTCTCCCCACCTCTTCTGTCTGCCTCATTGTACAAGGGCACCCTCTTCAGGGTGGCAAGATGGCTGCAGCAGCACCATCCACACGTGACATGTCCAGAAAGAGAAAGAGAAACATCACCTCTTCCAGAATCTCCTGGCAAACTCCTTCTCCAAGCTCAGTGGCCCTAAGTGGGCACCCCACCACCCCAGAGCTGTGCCCCTTAGAGCCAGGAGTGACTCTAATCTCTCAAACCCAAAGACCACAGTGGCGGTGGGGGGAGAAGTAAAAACGAGGCTTGCTCCTAAGTAGGGGCCTAACTGTCAGGGAGGAGGCAGCACAACTAGAATGCTGAGGAGCAGCTGTGAACCCAAGGCCATCTGTTCATTCAAACGGTGTTTACTGAGCCCTTGCTGTGGCTCACACACAGTGTTAGATGCTGGAGACACACCTGAAGGCTCCCCGCCCTCCCGCCTTCCTGCTGCTGCTCTGCTACCTCTCCGGGTTCAAGCCTTGTGTCTTCAACAGAACTTGAAGCTGAATAATGTCCTCTTAACCAGCCCTTCTGGGGCCGAAGAGGCTGTGGCTCTAGGCTGTCATTTAGTTCTGTCTCTCAGCCTCCTTCTCTGTAAGTAAAATCAGGAACACCTCCCCTAGAGTCACGAGAACGAAATGAAAAGCGATTATATAGGAAACAAGGAAACTTCAGAGCAGCAAGACACCCACCCCTGCAGGCATGCAGGTCAACCCTCGTTCTCACTGAGTGCTGCTGGGACTCGGAGTTCTGTACATTAAACCCAACGTCACCGTCTGGGGCTTTGTAAAGACACTGACTGCAGTGTCACTACCGACCCAGAGATGCTAGTTCACCGTTTCCACTTAGCCGGCAGCTAATTTTTTTTAATAATCCACACATTTCTCCCACTTAAGAGGAGGGTCGCCTACACTGAAGCGCCCACCCAGCTTCTAAATGCGTCCTGACACCGGAGCGCCCGGATTCTCAGGAAGGCAGGCAAAGGCGAGCCCCGGGGAGCCAGAAGGCGAGGGGACGCAGCACACCGCGGGGACGCGCAGCACCGGCAGACCTCACCTGCGCACGGGTCCCGCCGCTCCGCAAGGAGGCAGTCAGTCCCCCAGCCAGCGCTCTGAACTGTAAACTGTCCCCGAGTCCCCCGCCGGCGGGTCCCGTTCTGGTGAGCCTGCTGCTTTAAACAAGAACCCTGCAGAAAGTCGGCCCAGGTTCCGTGAGCTGACACGCTCACGCGCGGGAGGAACCACAACCGCGCCCAGCGGGTACCCGGCACGCGGGGCGCAGCCCGGCCCCACCGCGCCTCCCCGCCAGCCGAGCGGCCCCTTCACCGGAACCGGCTTCCTGGGTCCCCGGGCGTCACCTCCAAGGGGCCGCACTGCAAACTGTACTGGAGGGAGGACCCGGTACCGGGTCCGGTGCGGCTCGACGTGCTCGACTCGCTCTGTCCTGTCGCCACCTGCGTGCGGACTCGCGGCCTCCGCCGGCCACTCGTCCCGGTGACCGGGCTTCCGCGGCCGCCTACCGGCTGGAATCGGCGGATCGCAGGAGAACCGGGAACGCGAAGCAGGAGCCCACGCCCACACGGTCTTCTCCGGCCCAGGGGCTTCCGCGCAGCCGCGAGGCAGCCGCGCCCCCCAGCGCCGGGGGCGG